AAAAACGATTTTCTTTTTTATTATTACTGGATTAGTGTTTCTATCACCGTTTTTCTGTTTTGTATGCAAAACTTTGATTTGAATTGTTATGATAGGTTGTTCTAACAGAGCCATTCCGTGTGTTTACACCATAGACTGTATGAAAACAGGTTTACACACTTGTTCAGTGAGTGAACAGTATCATCGTTGCTCTCTTACATCTTTTACCTCAGAATAAGGACTTGTTGCGCTGGTGAGAATGTCCTTTACGACTTTGTTGTTCGTAGTATGTATTATCTGTTATCGTGTTTGCCAGTTTAGTTTTGCCAGTTTGAAGACGCAAACTCTGGGTGTGCAGAAACCGATGCATGCAACTGTAGCAGTCCAGCCGCTTCACCTCCAGAAAAATAAGCTTTGAGGTGAAGTTTTGAGGTAAAATTAAACGGCGTGCAGCCTCTTACGAAGTTGAAACTGATGTTGCTCAAGTTTTAACGACCCGACAGCTACAATTCCGCGAAAGAATCGTTCATGTGAGTCGGTTCTTGATGAAATGGTAGAACGATTCATGAGGTGGACTGTCGGAGCGGTTGTCGAGTCAACTGAGAACCATCTTCGCACATGCTCGATTTCTAATAAACTGAGTTCCCTTTCATGGGAACTGCGTCCTCTAGGTTTCCCCAAAAAATAAAAATAAATAAAACCAAGTGGCATTTACATAAAAAAAAGATAGCATAAGCACTTTCGAAGCAAAACTGTTCACAAAATAAGTTTGTTAGGTTATAAATAATGGAATAAAAAGTCCACGTTGTGTTTGTAAAGCGAACTTGAGGAGAACTGACTTCATACAGTTAATAAAAATAGCAATCAGTTAATTAAATGTAAATGCAAAGTGGCTTAGTAAAAGGGAGCGCAGTATCATATGCTTGCAGACGACATTGAGGTATACCATGATGAAAATTACAGGCCTCTCTCATCTTTTTAAGTGGGAGAACTTGCACAATTGGTGGCTGACTAAATACTTTTTTTCCCCACTGTAAATGCTATTATTTAGCCAGACGGAAGCGTGGAGCGCTTTGACAGAGGACTTCTGAGCTCTCCGCTAATGACCTAGCGCTGCTGTCAGAATCAATCCGGCCCGCTGCCCACACAAATGACAATGCACTGTGGGAGTAGACATAACGGTCATTTCTGTGGCCCGGAGTGCCGGCGCGGCCCGTGCTGACACCACCGGGACCATAACACCCTCGGGCCAACAGAGACGCTATTGGAGGAAGAGTAGGGTGCTGAAACACAGAAAAAAGTCTTAAAGGTACAGTAACAATTTATTTACCGTTGCAGGAAATCTTGCAAAGTAAATTTTGATATTTACCTCTGTGTATTGGACCAGAAACAGGCCTTTTCTAAAAATACACTAATTTTGTTTGTGAGTTGTGGCAGAAAAAGGCACTATTGATATTACTGTGCAATGCCATTAAATAGTAGTGAGAAAGTAGAGCACCACAACAGCTGCCTTCACACAGACATGCATATTAAGCAGCTAATTGATTATCTGGGTTGACAAAACTCTGTGCTCAATGTGTTCAAGCTTATTTGTGCACAAACAAAGATGCACGGAGGGTTTTCTGTGCTGAAATCTGGTTGCTGGGTCACATAACAGCTAACTACACAAGTAAACAAAAAAATCGCACTTTCAAAATATTTCAACTAAACATACTGTACAGTCCTTCCATGTTTACTTTATCTTAAATAACATTAAGATTACAAAAAACTGCATTTGCAACAAATTTTACTTCCATTATTTGAAGCATTTATGGTTGCAAAACAATATATGTAAGGTAGGAAACAGTATTAGGCCTATGTAAGGTGGGACTTAATTGTCATAATTCCCAACCCTTGTGGTTTTGGTTGCAGCAAAAAGATCACATTTACTGTCCCTCTGCAAAAATGCAGTCATTTCAATAGGAATAGCTGAAATTTGGCTAATTTCGAAGTAAAATCAAAGTTATGCTAAACTATAATATCCTTCAAACAAACAAGCACCAAACGAGATATGAGATGCGATGAGTATAACTCTATGTAAAGGCACACATATACGTGTGTGTGTGTATTTATGCGTAGCGTCCGTTTGCAGGTGAAGGCCGGTTAGCAGCTCTTCCCCCACATCCTCTTTATTAAACGCTATCAAACACGGTTTAAGCTGTCTAAAATTAGCCTCGGCACTCAACAACTAATGACTGCCTTGCATCCATTATTAGTTCATTTTCTTCAGATCAATCACCAGCCGAGCATGCTTTTTTTTAAATGTCATCCTAAAACTTTTCACAATCAATTAAGCTGAAGATTAATGGGGACAATTTGCCAGGAACAAGTCCTTCCTTGAAAAGGCCACACCTCGACAGACTTCCAGCCTGGTATTGGTGTTAATTATAAATTTCCGCTTTGCTGTCACACACTTAACCTGTCGTAAGGGAATAGCGCTGGCAGTCCAGGGACCGGCGAACCGCTATTTAAATATTCCTAATCTGCTTTTTTGGACACAGGTGACTGGTGTGAATTGTGCTTTTCGTTCTGTGTCATTAAAATGAATTTGAAAGGACATCAGTGCTGTAGCTAAGCATGGATAAAAAAGGCTTTTTCTACCCTCTGAGGTGAAATAAGAAAAAATCACCCCCCCTTGAGCTTTCCAGAAACACCGGTAGACTGAAGAAGTGTCATCCTTCATTTTCTCACATGCTAAACAGA